GATGGAAGGACCCGATTGCAGTGGAATACAGCACCCCTCTTCCCCAAAATGATGGGACCACGGACAAAGGTAGCCTCTGTACTCTTTCCCCCCATTTCCATCACAGCGATGTGGTCAGTAGAAAATTGCATACCTGAAGAATACAATGGTCTCCCAAAGGTAGAGTCGAAGAGTATTGAAGCTGTACATTTTTCAGGTCCTTGTGCTTTGTAGTCCACGAGTTATGGGGGCAAAAATGTTTCAAATTGGCACTTACAAAACCAGAAAGCGCTATTGAAAAAAATAATCCAGATGTTAAGGGGAGGCGGGGAACAGGGGCTCGGAGGGAGAGCCCCAGGGGAAGTCGGAGCGAGGGGGCTGTGGATACCACGGACAGCGGCTGCTGCGAGGCGTTTCAGCACCACGGAGAGCGTCCAGCCCTGCTTTTCAGGAGCGCGAAGAGTATTGCTGTTTGTTAAACTCCAGCGTGTCTGTTGGCTCCCTGCGGCGCTGGGGAGGCACGTTTGGGGGTGGGTATATTTCCTTTTTTTTTTTTTTTTTACCCCTGTTTTTCTGTTTAAACGGCCAGCTCCATGCAAGGAAAAAAATCTTCTGTGGAGATCAGAACGTTGGCCTCGGACCGTTGGATTGGGCGAGCATCTTGGGTAAAGAGAACAGAGCTTTATGGCTCTGGGCCGGCTGAGGGGGTTAGAGGCGAGGGGAAAGCGGTTGACGGTGCTGCCTTCAGTTAAATCTCGGAGAGTGTGCCAGGCCGGCGCATCGCAATCCAGTCTCGGAATCTCATTCCCCTGCCTCGGTGCTATTCTGCTGTCGCCTTGCTATTCCTGTTTCCTGGTCCCCGGTCCCCGCCGAATAAGTTATGATCACTGCAGAAAAGGTGTCCCATTGCTTGGGGCCGCAGGCGTCAGAGAGCCCGGGGCAAGTTTCAGGGGCTACCGGGGTCCATGGCTACCCCGCGGGGCTCAGGAGCCCGATGTCTCAGATGCATCTCGGTTTTCTGAGCTCGCTCATCTTTCCTTGGTCAAGGCTCCTACAGATCTTCAGACTTTCTTACTGCATTAATTTAACAAACTGGAGGCGTGGGGGATGGGAGGGGTGACAGCCGATGGGAGGGGGTTGAGAGGATAAAAAAAGGGGGGAAACTCCTTAGTATCTTCAAACCCTCCCACTCGAGGTGTTCATTGGCCCGCGGCTACGAAAACCAGATCTTCTCCCGGTATTCGGCCAATAGCCTGTTAGACTCCGGGTTGAATTTAACGCTTGGAGTGCTGGACGAGATCTGCGCAATCCCCCTCCTACCCCCAAGCTTCTTTCCGTGTAAGCGGTAGGGTAAGAGAGGTTATGGAATTAATCACTCTAGGTCTCTCAAAAGGTTGCCTTGATTTTTAAAGAATTCAGTTGCATGTGAGTAAAACACATGGTTCCTAGTTAAGACGTGCTCTGGGCTCAATTTATCCTTTTAAAAAGGAAGAGTTGAAGCAGATCCCTGATTTTTTAAAAAGAGCTCTGAAGTTATAATATTTGGCCCCAGAAAGAAAGGAGGAATATCCAAAAAGAAGTCTGGTGGATAAAGACCCCCTCAAGGGTCACCGCAGCAGGGAAATACGAGAGAAATTCTTTGAGCAGTTTCCAGGGTTGAGTGGGAGGTGTTGTGGCTGGCACCCTTTTGAGAGGGAATAAAAACACCTTATTCCAACTGGACAGGAGACAGTTTTATTTGCCTTTTATTTGCTGGGGAAACTGAGCCTCACAGAGCTGTGGCTTGCTCCAAATTGATGGCAGAGCCAAGTTGTACACACAGAGATTGTGTTATGACTCACATTCCCTGTTTTTTCTTCCGCTGTTTTCCCACCTTATTTGAATCTTAGAAGCCAGCTATACATTTCACTCTAAAGCCCATCTGGGGAGATGGAGTTAATCAGATTTTCTCCAAGCTATGGGACTATAGGATAAATACTTTAAAGGATTTTCTGGCTGATTTGAACTCACTGGCACTCTGGGGACTCTCCCTCCCAAGGCTACTGAGAGAGGACAACCCCTTCTCCTTATCCCATAACGTTAGAAACTCCTTTGGTTGGTCTCCCGAGAGTACTCATCAGCTCAGTTCCCTCCAGGGCTAGGCCTTCTCCCAAGCAAAAACTTCTGGAAAGTCTTGTTTACTAGCCTCCTACCAGCAGGATTTTCCCTCCCCTCCCCCTGCACTACAATAGCACATCCCACACTACCGGTTCTGTTATTGGCTCCCACAATCTAGAATTTCCATGATATTCTGAGTAGTGACTGAAAAGGAAATTTTGTTTTGAAGGTGTATATTAATATGAGTTGGATACAAATTTAAATATAATAAATAATATATGTATTTAGATATATATAATCAAGAGCTAACCTTTATTAGCATGGTTTCTGTGTGTCAAGAGCTACTGTGAATTCACATAATCTCATTTACTTTTCACAGTCAGACCTTGAGGTAAATATTATCTTTGTGTATGTGTTTTTGTACATTTGTGAGTATGCTTGGGCAAAACCAGCTTGTATGTTACTGTATATATAAATTTATTTATGATTTGTATCATGCCTAATTCTGAAGTGATTTTGATATGCATATGTGTATTTGTACATTTGTGTTTGTAAATGGGTCTTTCTCCACATACACATAGATGTGTATGTATCTATGTGTGTCTTTGTGGTGCTCCTAGAAATACTGAAACAAGCTGTAAGCTGGCAATTTTGTCCTTGTCCCTCATCTGACTACGAAATACCTGCAAAGCCAGGTGTGATGCAGCATGTGGAAATTTGTTTTTCTTTTCCTTCAAGGGGTGCTGTGCATGTGTGGCTGTTCATGAGTGTGAGTGGCTCCAAGGCTGTGGCCTGTGCAGGAGGTGAGAGTAATTATTACCTGGGGTGGTTGAGGGGCACCTGTTTGTTAATAGGCCTCTGTTTACTATGAGGCTGATACTTTCATTTAATCAGCACATATGAAAGGAGCATGTGCCAAGTATTGGGGATATGACAGTATATAAGATAAACAGTACAGTATATACTGATAGTGTATAAAATAAACTGTAAATAAGATAAACTTTTGGAATATGCAGTTGCTTCAGAAGTTCAGTGGGAAGAGTCCCTCAGGTTAGTTAATCTACACTTTTTACCCTACACATCACACACATCACATATTTATGCCAGGACAGATCTTTTTGTTCTTGTACAGGTCACTATTGAAAATAAATAACTGTGGGCTTGGCAGTCAGGGATTTATGTCCTTATTTTATCTCTTCCTCAAAAGGTTGGATATGTTGGATAAATGACTAAACTTCTCCAGGCCTAAGTGAAATGAGGGTAGTAATGCCACTTTTCTCATTGCAAGAAACTGCGTGGAATAAATATTTAAGTCTAATCTTATTGTAGCTTACCATGCTATGAAACAAAAATCTTCAAGGAATGGAATGGATTGGCTTCAGCTAATGATTCATTTCTATTGGTAACTTTTCTGTGTTGTCTGACTCCAGTGTAGTTCTAATACTTGACTGGTGTCTTATAGGTCCTAGTAGCTGGATTTGAACCCTACTAAGTATGAATAAATTTTGACACACAGTGAAACTTATTTTATTACTAGAAAAGGTTCATTATGTTATTCATTCAACAAATGTTTATTGAGCATTTACTGTGTATCTGGTACTATTTTTGCCACTGGGGATATAGCGGGGAACAAAACAAGCCAAAAGCCCTATTCAAATGTATGCATCTTCTGTTGGAGGGAGACAGAAGACAAACAAGGACATATATGGTGAGTTAGGTAGTCACAAGAATTAAAAAGAAAAAGGCAGGGCAGAGAGTGGCATGGAGGTGCTATTTTATGTAAGGTGATCAGATCAGAGAATGGCTCCTGAAAAGGCATTTATGTAATTGAAGGAAGTGAAGGAATGAGTCATGTGAACCTTGGGGGACGGTGGAGGTAAGGAAAGCTTTCTAAGAAGTGGGAAAAGCAAATGCAAAAGCCCCAAGAGGGGAGTATATTTGCAGTGTACAAGAAACAGCGTGGAGACCAGTGTGCCTGGACAGAGTGAGTGCAGGGAATAGTGGTAGAAGATGAGATTAGAGAGGAAGTTGGGGACTAGAGCAGGTACTACCTCCAAGAAAAGATTTCAGGGATGGCAGGAGCAAAATGAAAGCAGAGAGACTAGTTAGGAGCTACTGAAAACGTCCATGTGAGAAATTCCTTAGGATAGTCTTGTTCAACACTTTCGTGTACAGAAGAGGAAAATTATATACAGAGAGGTTAATAGACTTACCCCTTAGACTCATAGCACAGCTGGGACAAGAACACAAGTACCCTAATTATAGCTAAAGGGTGTTTCAACTATTTTTTTTGTTTATTTCAGCTAAGATAAAGGGCATGCAGAAAGAAAGGAAAGTCTGTGAGGGAAGAGACTTTACCTGTTTTTGTTACTGACATATACTGATATATATCACATATTGGTATCAGATACTAAATAATATAGTGTCTGGCACATACGAGGGGCTCAGTAAATATTTATTGCAAGGATAAATGAGTGAATAAACAAAAGAACAAAAAAAGTCAGGCAGAGGACACAAATACAGGAGAAAGAGAGTAAGGAATATTGTTAATCAGGTGAGATTATGTTGTCCTGAGCCAGCTAATGTAATTAATATAATGCCAAGCCTCTGTCCATAATGACATTCACAGAGGAGAGTGCTGTATGTTTCAACACTGCTTTGATAGACCTGAATGATACTTTGCAAAGAGAGATATTTGGAACAACTGAGCAGCTTACCTAATTGTGTTGTAGTATGATGAATAAAGGCCTGAAAATGGTACTGTGGAAGAGTCTTTTCTCCAAAGAATTAGAGGCTTGCTGCCAGCTGTTTCTAATCCTAATCCAGAGTGCTCTTGTTACTTTTTTTTTTGCAAAGCAATTATCTGTTCTTTATGCTTTAAAGAAGGGACCCCAGAACTACTTAGGGGATCTCAGTGACACCAGAAGAATTTTAGTTGTAAAGAATAGATGCATAAAATACGAAGAGACCTTTCCTCCCATTTTACTAGCTACTCAGGGTCCAGGAAAGGGGAATGACTGGCTTAAGATATCACAACAAAACTGAATCTAGATTGGAGGACTCTTATTCTTTCAGGTCATGGTTCCCTACCTTTTTTTCTGTGAGACCTAAAATAAAAGAAGAGAAGGTACGATCTGTGATGAAAAATGCTTCATATCAAAGCTGACCTGCTCAGAGACCGGAGACTCCCCAGTTTTCTTTTGTAGTCAAGCCTATACTTGTACTTGGTGCTCTAACAGCTTACTGTTCGTAAGAGACTTTTAGCGATCTCCCTGTGCTTCATTTCCATCTTTCTCTCAAACTATCTCTGCCTCTTTTTTCTACTTTCTTCTCATCTGCCCTTACATGTTATTTCATCTTTATTCAGTTAGTTTTTCTTTCTTTCTCTCTTTTTTTTTTTTTTTCTGAGATGGAGTTTCGCTCTTGTTTCCCAGGCTGGAGTGCAGTGGCGTGGTCTCTGCTCACTGCAACCTCCATCTACAAGGTTCAGGCGATTCTCCTGCCTCCAAGTAGCTGAGATTATAGATGTGCACCACCTTGCCTGGCTAATTTTGTATTTTTAGTAGAGATGGGGTTTCAACATGTTGGCCAGGCTAGTCTCGAATTCCTGACCTCAGGTGATCTGCCTGCCTTGGCCTCCCGAAGTGTTGGGATTATGGTGTGAGCCATTGCATCCGGCCCAGTCAGATTTTTCTCATTGGGTCTCTCATCTCCTACTGTGTCCACAAAGACTTTTGTGATTAAGAAGGCTTGACACAGGACACACTTTTACTGAGTTTGTTCATTCACTCAAAGCCTTGTTCATTTATTTAAAAAACACATATATCTTGAACACTGGTTGTGTGTCTGACACTGTGCTGAAGTTTTGCATGTCTAAATAAAGATTTGTTCATTCATTTTAAAATAAATATTTATTAAGTACTGTCTGTGTGTTA